CTTCTTTGTTTATTCTTTATATATTGATTAGGTCTCTTAATGACAAATCTAAATTTTGCCTTGTAGAAAATGACATCTGAAAATGCTTCAACTACTGCATCAACATAATCTATTAGATCAAAGACAGATCCTACATGGGAGCATTGTGCTGAGGTCAAGCTCCCAGATAGCAAAGTTTGCCTAAAATGTTTGTACTATGTAAAAGAATTTACTAGTGAAGGGATTCATACAATGAAATAATATCTTGTTAGAAAGAAAGGGGATGTAATAAGTTGCAAAAAGGTGCCTGTTGATGTTTGCTACCGACTCAAAGAAAATTTAAAGGAGATTAGGGAGAACAAAAGGCAAGAAGCAAGATAATTATAAAGAGGACAATCCATATAGCCCTAATGTCACACCATTAGAAAGTAATGATGGAAATTCAAAAGAAATTTCTACTCCTCAATCTCAAACCCTCAAAGAAATTTAGCCATAAAGTCAAACTCAAGTTGGAAAAAGAAAGACTCCTATTGATAAGTATTTTGCACCAAGAACAACCCCAGGAGAACAACCAGGGATTCAAGTGCACTTGTAAGTAAAGAACCTATACGTAAAGCAGACATTGCTTTTGCTAAATGGATGTATGATTGTTGTATCCTATTGAATGTTGTCAATTCAACATTCTCTCAACCTATGATTGATGCATTTACAGCTATTAGCTTTGGTTATAAAGGGCCAAGTTATCATGTCATGAGAACTAAATTACTGCTTGATACTAAAAAGGAAGTTCAGTTAATGGTTGATAGTTTTAGAAACTTTTAGGATGATACTAATTGTACAATCATGGCCAATGGTTGGCAAGATCAAGCAAATAGGCAGTTGATTAACTTTCTTGTCTACTCTCCTAGGGGAATTGTTTTTATTAAATCTGTTGATGCATCAGACATAGTCAAGGATGCCTAAAATTTGTGCAACTTGTTCACTGAATGGTTGACTTTGTTGGAGTTACAAATATTGTGCACTTGGTAACTGATAATACAACTAATTATAAAGCTGCTGGGCAGTTATTATGTGACAAATTTCCTTCTATTTTTTGGTCTTCTTATGCTGCACATTGTTTAAACTTGATTTTAGGAGATATTGGTAAAATGGATGTTGTGACTGGCTTGCAACACGTGCATCTATGGTGACAAAGTTTGTTTATAATCATGCCTTTTTTCTTGCTTGGCTGAGAAAAAGAGAAGGTTGGACTAAAATTATTCACCCTGAGGTGACATGATTTGCTACCACTTTTATTGCATTGAAAAGTATTCATGAGCATAAACATGATTTGCAAGCCTTGGTAACTAGCAAAGTATTTTTAGATTCTAGATACTTAAAAGGAGAAAAGGAAAAGGATGTAACTTCAATAGTGCTAGACAATCAAATTTGGAATGATTGTAAAATTGTGGTCCAAATTGTTTCACCACTTATTTAGTTGTTTAGGATTGTTAATGCTGATGAGAGGCCTTGACTTGGGTATGTATATGATGGCATGTACAGGGCAAGAAAAACTATCGAGAATATATTAATGAATAAAAAGCCCTTGCACAAGCCTTACACAAGGATTATCAAGAAAAGGTAGGATTCTCAACTTCGTTATAAGCTCTATGTAGCAACTTATTTCCTAAATCTTGTGTTCTTTTATAATAAGCAAAGCATCTATAAAAAGCCAGAGGTTATGGCTAGATTTCTTGTGTTTTGGATAAGACAATCACTTTTAACAAAATCAAGTTTGTGCAAGAAAGTTTATTGTATCAAAATAGAGTTGATAGCTTTGGTCGTTCCTTGGCCATTTCATCTATAAACTCATTGTGGCCAAGTAACTTTTAATGTTCTTTTCATTTAACTTTAATACTTTTTATAGTTCTTACTTATGTTTATCTTTGATGCTAAATTTCACGGATGAATGGTGGAAAATATTTGGTGATAGTGCACCAAATGTTAAAAAATTAGCAATGAGACTCTTGAGCCAAACTTCATCTTTATATGGTTGTGAAAGGAATTGAAGTGTGTTTTTGAAAGAATACACTCTAAAAAAAGGGATAGGTTGGAGCATAAAAGGTTAAATGATCTTGTGTTCATTCATTACAACCTTCATTTGAGAAATAGGTATATTATTTAATTATAACTAAACTTTATTTAACATGAGTTTAATTATAAGTTGTTAACTTCTAAAGTTCTAATACTTTGGCTATGTGTTTTAGAATTTATAACAAGAAAAGATCTTTTGATCTTATTGATTATAAAAGTATTAGTGACATGGAGTATTGGATCATGGAAGATGAAGATTCTCCCACCCTTAATTATGATGAGATAGAAGAAGCTATGCTTTATGATGATACAATAATTCCACAAGTTTCTATCAATCAAGATGAAGGTTTGATCTTTGGTATTTTCTAGTATTTAGTCATGTTATTTTTTTTCTTATAATATGTATTACTTATTAATTTTAATACTTGATTTGTTACATTGTTTAATAAAGATAATAATGAAGGAGGAGGCAGTGAGGTTCCGACTAGGGTGGATGTTCAATCATGGGAGGACTTGATTTGAGATTTTTACCCAAGAAGATGTTGAAACTTATAGTGATAATGATTTGTAGGAAACCCATGCTTGGCTTAATCAGGATCCACCAATCTTTAACAAGTCATGAATAGATAAATGTGATGTTATGTTTGTTTAAATTGTTGGTGTGTTGTGTTGTGTTGCCTTGCTAGTTGTTATTTTGTCATATGTTGAAGTTGAAGTTGACTACTTAACTTGATATTTTAATTATTTGATGTTTTATTTATATTATTATATAGATATATAATTTTTTAAATTTAATTGTTACATCACCGGTTCGACCACTAGTCCAACCCAATTGGACCACGCGAATCGCTGGCCTTTTCAATTCAATATCCAGTCTGATTTTGAAAACATTGGGTCTTCCAGTATTTGGGATCTTAAACTTATTTTTGGTACATTGCTCTCCTTCAATATTACTAAATGATGCCATGCCACCCTTATCATTAACAAAAGTTAAATTTGATAATTAGTTAATAAAAAAATTACAAAAAAATTCAAAAATTATAAAATACAAATAAGTATCATATACAAAAATTTATAACTTTTTAATTCTTTTCTGTAATTTTTAGGTTGCTTTCTTTCATTTTGAGGTTTTTTTTAAATAATTTTTTGATGAATTAATGGTCAAAGTTAACGTTTGTTAACGGTAGAGATGACATTGCCTTGTTTTCAAATATTAAAAATAATATTACATCAAAAATAAATTTTAAATATTAAAATATCTTAGACCTATAATTTAAGGGCAGAATTGCCATTTACGTGCAGGCTCTAACTTTAATAGGTCTCAATCATATTTAAATCCTTTAAAGCGTATTATATAAGTCTATTTAAATAATTATGACGTTATTTGATTTTCACATTTGCACCAAGTTTAAAATAATTTTTGTGTGATGCAAGATTTGTCAGCTTTTTAAAAATTCTTTTGAAACGTAATCGAATGATCCAAACATATTGAGTGCCGATATGTGACTGGCTTTCTACAAGCACATTATGTGCACGCATATGACCGAGAGACCCAGATGAGGTTCAAAAGCGTGGGAAAAAATAATCAAATTCGTATCCTTCAAGTTTGATTCAGGCAGCTTGTTTAAATTTTTTTACGAAAAAAATCTCTTATCTTTTTAAAAAAATTATTTTACAAAATTTTATGATATTTCTTTAAACTTTTGAAAATAATTATAATTTGAAGAAAAAAAATTCTGATCATTTTAAAAAATTACTTTGAATATCTTCTAAAAATAGTCTAATGTGATAAAGAAGATATAGTAAAAATGCTATGATAAATAGAAATCTCATGAATTCTTTAAATAAATAGTTAATAAATTATTTCTTATAAATATATATTTATGAAGATATCATAAAATTAAAAAATAATTAAATAATAATTACTTTTTATTACCGCAACCAAATAAAAAATAATATCTATTCTTTAATCGGCCTTTAATTATCAATTTGGTTCATAAAATTTAATATTTATTAATTATCTAAAATTTTATAACCATATATATTTTAGTCCTCATGATATTATTTTTCTTTAAAACCAAAATGACTAAATGTATATGATTTTAAAATTTTAGGAACCTCATTGATTAGACAAAAAAAATCAAATTTCAAAAATCAAATCAATATCAATAATTAAAATATATTTGGAGATCCTAATCAAATTTCATTATACAGAAACAAAATGAATTTCAAAAGTCATTTGATCATATTTGATTGGTTAAGTTATTTGTCTCTTAATTTAATCCTTTCAGATAAATAATCTCAATTTGATCTCTAAGAATTTTGCTTTCACTTGTATGATATTTCAAATATTAATTAATTGTATTGATCTAAATCTAGGCTCTCAAACATATCCCAATCACAAAAACTGATCACAGAAATGTTGGGTAACAAAAACAAACTATCGTTGACTTCATGACGACAATATCTTCTTGAATTTGTTCCTCTACAAATAATTCAGTTTCAACTTTAAAATACATTTTTAACAAAAACGGTCCATTCATTGGAAATAGAATAACGACATAAATTGTCAATACTAAATGTTTTTAATTCCAAAATGAACACTATTATTTCATATAACAACTAAGTTTTTACTGAACACATTTTTACATAAAAGAACTGTTCTATGAGAGAAATATTTTAGTAAACAAGAAGCATACTTTTGACGAACATCAATTAAAACTAACGTGATTAATAACACTACTTAACTTTTTAGGTAAACTCAATAAACATAACTACAAGAAGTCTACCGTCTAGAATTTAAATTGAGGGGAATTATACAAAATAGAGCTAAGTTATTTTTTACAACAAAACAAAAGCAACATATCAATATACAATATAAAAAATATTTAAAAAAAAAAACGTCGCTATCAATAAGCCATGAAAAATCTAGTTTCAACAATACTAGATGACAGAATAATTTGAAAATGTCGCGTTTCCCATCAATTAATGGCTTTGTATTTTAGATACTTAATACATTTACACATGTACAAGACCTGCACATACCATCATACAATTTGAAATCTAGATATGAGATAGGCCCATGATTCCTTTTCTCCTGTATTAATCAATCATGTCTCTCTTACTTACAACTCATTTTCACTTAGTTTTACGTTGAAAGTTACTCACTTCCATCAAAATCATGATTTTTTTGGTTTTCAACGTAAAACTAAACAATCAAGCAATCTTCTGCACAACCTTTTCTCTTATCTGTCGGTGACAGAGGCTTGTTAGTTAATGACAGAAGCACCTGAATTTGGCCCTTTGAACAGAATCAAGATCATGGTCATGTTGTCACATCCCAAACCACCGGCTGCTGGTGCCAAGCACCAATCCAATACTCTCTCACAGATCACTTTTAGATTGTTTTCCTGCATAATTTTTACACATTTATACATATAAAATTTATACAACTCATCTTTCCAATTGAAACATGCCAAATGGTATAATCAAGGAGTATCTTTAATCTGCATAAAAACAAACAAACTACAACAATAAGCCTTATCCCATTAGGTGGTGTCAAGTATACAGACAGCAAAACAAAGAAACATAGAATAAATTCACAAAAACAAAAACAAAAGAAAAGAAAAGAAACACAGAATAAAACTTACTGTCCTTGACTGTTCATGTATGAAATCCACAAGATGTTGGCTTGACATGCAATCCCTATTTTATACAATGCACAAAGCAAAAGTGTCAAATGGATCGTTGAGCATCCACCTTCATTCCTCGTATATCATAAAATTAAAACAAGGGCAGCCAATGTCTAGGACATGTATAATGGCAAATATTCCTTGAACTGTAACAGATGAAGCACATTGCTATCAAAGTAAGCTTAGAGCAGCGTAGAGGACAAAGTCATGTGGCATTTTGATGAAGCTGTTGACAATATTGTCCCTATTACATAATTGAGAGAAAAAAAATAGGCCAAAAATAGCTATTTTGAGTTTCTTGGATAAAAAATAGGCCAAGAAAAAAGACTATTTCGGATGAAACAATACATTAACAAGATAATAAAAACTAAATCACGATAACTATGACTATCAAAGGAGTTTCAAAAGGAATTTTTGGAAACAAGAAACTTACCATATTCCATCACAAGCTATAACGAGAAACTCATCATCATTGCAAAGCTCAACCTATTTATTATACAAAATATAAGTAAGAGTAATCAACCCAGAGCAAATAAAGGAAAAGACAAAAAAAAAAAAACCATAAAGGAACATGTTAAAAGATGGCAGCAAATGCGTATGCTATTTCTTTTTCTTTTCTTTTCTTTTTCTTTAAATAAATGGTACACTATTTGCATGAGATGAACAGAACATATTCACGAAAAGAAAAATCTCACTGATATTAACCCTTTAACCTGTTTATAGGGTATAATGCACTGACAATATACTACTCACATAAGTTAACTCTGGATCAGCAGTTACCATCTGCTTGTCCGCAGGCAAAAGCTTGTTTTCCTTGAATTCAATATCTCCTGAAATAGAAACGATTTTACATTATAAAATACTAGACATATTTTCTCATGCATTATATGACACATGAGGAATAATTATTTATGATTTGTGAATAGTGCCGCTTGCTATATTTTACATTAAATTAAATATTGATATTCATTGGGACAAATGAGGCAACCTACAACAAGACGGCAATAATTACAACTGAAAAGAAAGACAAAGATATTGTAATTTCCCTTGCATTACAAAAAAATAAGAAATTTGCATTACCAATTGCACTAGTCAAGTTTAAACATCCATTGACACGTCCAAATTGTATAAAACCACCAGCTTTTAGAATCCTGTATTTTTCAACCTCGAGGTCAGGCTTGTGATCTTTAGTTAAATTTTGTGCCTGCAAATGAGACTTCGCTGAACCAAACATACGAGAATTGTGAAAGATTAGTTGTGCCCACTGGTCAAGGCAGCATTTCACAGACGCCCAGCTCAGAAGTTCATATACTTGATGACTGGATGCACCAAACATTGAGGTCAACGATGGGCAGAGGCATGCTCCTCTTAAGGTCAAAATTATCTTTTGACATAACCATTTAGTGCATAAGCGTGACAAACGCTACCCTTCAAAACCATCGCAGCAGAAATGGGTATAAAACATAGTTCGCTGAAGTCACTAGTTAACAATGATCCTCAAAAGAACTGTACTACATAAATAAGCAACCTTTCTCACTCAGCAAATTCTTTAGATAACTACTTCCCCTCACTTTTCCTATCCTCTTTCCAGGTCAGTACCCCTGTCAATGCCTTCTAAATCAAACACAAACTGGATATATCAAGAACCTGCATCTTAATTTGACCATATGATGCAGAATGAGGTTTACTACAAGAGGACGGGAAAGTACCTGGCCCTTCCTTGATAATACACAGCGAGAATCACCAGCATTTGCAACAAGAAGATGGTTGCCTCGGATGACTGCAACACAAGCTGTGCATCCTGCCTTTGGTACCCTGAAACCACAATGGGGCCCCTAATTTGCAGCATAAAATTTCCTCAGTTCAACATCAAAATTTTTATAAACTGGAATTAGATATTTGTTTGCCCAACATCAGACCTCACACTTATATTTTAGTTCTAAATAATAAAATTACCAAACTAGCAAGAAGTTTCTGCATATTTAACCTTTCTTAAACTTCATGTCAAACTGCAATGCAGTCAGCATGAAGTGAAAAGTTATGCAAATTATAACCTCAAAGCCATATTATTTTCAATTTTTAAGACACTGTAAATTTAAAAATTATTTCATAACCACAAATGGTACAATTAGCACCAGCAGTTTAAGAAAGGGGGCACTGGTGGCAAATTGGAAATATTGTTTCTGCATTAATATCAATACTAAATTTAAGCAAAAGTTGTTCGGGCTTTTGAAAATTTTCATTGGTCAATAAAGGATAATGAGAAAGCAAAAATGCCAGGGTGAAATAATAAACAGTGTTTACAGCCTATGTATTGTGTAGGCTTGGAGCGGACTTCTGCATTTTCCAACACAGAATTTGAACTTAAATGGATCTGCATCAAAATATTTAAAACATGAATGAACAATGACACAAGCATTAAGCTAGAATAACATGCACCTGTGGTATGTCATTCTTATTAGTTACCTCTTCAAAAGCCCAGTCATCAACATGGCCATTGACTGAACCACTCTTTGGAGTCCTTATAAACCAACATCTCATATTAAAAAGCCTTTTTGATTTTTCTCCCAAGACTGCTAATTCTCTCCACCCTCTTTGTCCACGCATCATCTCATCCATTCTGCCAAAAAAAAAAAAGGATAGAATATATAAGAAATGGAGCACAGTTTCGACTTTCAACAAAAGTATTTCTGTCAAAACTCCATTCCCCTTCACAATTCCTGGTCACAATCCGTTCATACCAATAAAAACCTAAATATGTCATGTGTGATTGAATTTCACCCATGGAGGAAAAGAATTGTGCCAATTATGAGCAATTATCATTCCATCAAAATCACTATGTCAGTCAGATGGTGAAATTTCTTATTCTAACTAAACATTTGATCTCAGCTACAAGGAGTTGGCTCAAGTTGCCTTTGTAAGTTTTTAGCATCTGAAAAGAGTGTCATAAACTGTCAATCTTTTGATTGCGTAAATATAATTTAATAAACTATTATAGTGAGATGAACTATTTGAGTAAAAATAAGAAACAAAGAAAAAGGAGGGATGAAAGACTATGCTTTGTAACTTCCAAAAACATGGTCTTGAGCCTAAGCACTTTCAGGCAACCCTATTCCACCTCTTGATCCCTTGGCAACTATTGATGAAAAAGCATCAACCCATAGCAAAGGAAAATTTTAAATAAAAACAATCGATAAAAAGAAACCTGAGAAATGAGTGTTGTAAAGATGTGCCTAAATCTCCAGCTAAATAAACTTCATGCTCAAGCACCTGTTGGTGTAGATACTTGGCACAGAATTTAGCGACTGCTTTACCTGAAAATTTGTGCACTTAATTAAGGGCTATAAAATACAAGCTTCTGGCCATTAACTATGTTGAATCTGTAAGCCCTACCAAATCAATTTTTCAAACAACTTAAGATGTATCGGCATTTCCAAGCGTATTGAGTAAGCTCTAATCAACACTAATTGTGTCTGAAATTCCCCAACAATCGTACAAAAATGTATCAAGGCATTTTTTTTTCCCTTCTTTTACTATAACATTGGTCAGGCCAACAAAAGGCCAAAAGCCTGCAATTGCAAATAAATATATATAGGATTATGAAACCATTCCAGGTGTGGATTTTGAGGATTGGAACAGGTTTGGCATGCCTGTTCAAATTCAAACCTGACCTTGGACAAGCCTAACACATTGTTGTGTTGCCAGATATGACAATATTATTGAAAACTCTCAGAACAGATACTAACCTCCATGACCATCATAAACACCAAACAAAGATGTAGACTCGTCCAAATCAGGATGGGCAGCATGCTGAAAAGCAATATAGAAAAAGTAAATTTGTATAAACTATCAGAATAATCAGACAGACCATCAGTAACGAATAGGGCTTTTGCCCTTGTACTTTGAATATTTCAGCGTACAACAGGTACTGCATTTCACTCCATATATTGCATCATTAACAACAGCAGTTTATTGGATTGCACTCCATGTATTACATGTGAATACAAAATAGAATGACAGAAGTTGATTGGATACAAGTTGCTACCCTACGAAGAAATTATCTCTACTTTTCTCCCATCCCATTCTCCATCTCCCTACACTATGTACCCCATTGAATAGAATAGATCATGATATATCATAAGCCTGATGAATTACAAATGATAAAGGCATTAGAAAAACATCTTGCTTTATATCCACGTAACAATCTTCTTCAAAAGATGGGCAGTTCCTACAGAAGTAGAGGTATGCTAGAGAAGTGTGATTTATCCCCCTGTAATTTCAAAGTTTTTAGTAGTACTGTAGCACATGCACCTCAATAGATAGATTATTATTATTATTATTATGAATGTCAACAAAGAAGTGAAAACTTGACTCTCTTCATCATAGCAGATTAAAAATATAGTTACCAACGAGTTCATCTAAAAACATAAAATACCATATCTTTTTGATAATTTGTAATAGAAGCATGATGACTAGAAACTTTGTTTTTGGTTGAACAAAAATTTAGGAGTTAGTAAGCTCATTCCAGCTACTGGGAAAGACACACCACAGTTGGTGGATGCCTCCACAAAAGATCAAAGAAGGAATGGAACCAAAGACCTTTGGGTCAAGGGATCTTGATCCTGCCAGAACATTGGAGTATGAGTAAGTAGTACAACTAGCATTAGGTTTTGTAAACTACAGCTAAATTAACTTATATTCACACCTGACTTGCCTAATCTCTGCAGGATGAAAAGATACCATCTAGAAGATAGAAACCATAATATTTCAATCATCTGCTACTAGTTCTATTTCAGTCATTAACAATTAAGTCAAATTGCCAACTTTTTCCCAACATTTTCCTTTCCTGTTGCACTCGGTTAAATGATTAAAATGGATACAAACCCACTGTTGTTTTCTGCAAGCACGCCATTTATGCACAACCAAAACGATATTTGAATACTTCAATTGTCGGCCAATAACGATACAACATGATGTACCATATCTTCCAAAAAAAAAAAAAGGAGCATGCTAACCAACAAGTAAACCGGCATTACACAGAAGTAGAACAAAAGGAAAGAAAAAAGTACAGACAGCATCTTCCATAGTTTTACGCCACCCTTGCATGGAAGATAACCCATAGCGAAGCCTGTCATTCTCGCCATCTTCAGAGGTCTTTTCTGTTTTCGGACTGCTAAGGTATGCCCCCATCTCCAACTGCTACAACACAAAAAGCCAACATTGAACCGCGCACACATTGAGAAGAAAGAATCATTACGTATGATCTGTGAAAGAGACAATAGTTTTAAATATTACATACATGGACCTAAATCTAGCCATACAATTGTATTTCTAAGAAATCAGAAACCACAAGGCAAAGAAGAAACAAACAAAAAGGCGGCACAAGAACAAGATATCATTCCCCCAATTCGGCATCAAACAGCGGTAAAAATTTAAATCATCGACTAGGGAAGCAAAATGAAGACCAAGGAAGAAACTGGCGAAGCAAATAATCATGGAAAATTCAATCTCAAAATAGAAGGATTAAGGGCAAGCGAAGAATCCGTACAGTGGTTTCCGGAAAGGGAAAGCGAGTGTCCTTTGTATCCCTGCAAATCCAAGACCGCTCCAAGAAGAAAGTTAGATCCCAATTTTGCATCAATTATTTTAGGTTTGTTTAAAACTTTATTATTTATTTATTTATTTATTTATTGCATCTATTATTATCCGAAGAGCCATTGGCTCTATTGGCTATTGCTTAATTTTTAAAAATTTATATATTTATGTTATGACTCAGCAGCGCCGTCAACTATTTTTGGAGCTTTTAATAATTGTGAATATTTGTAATTTTGTTCATCCATGGGACTACAATTCTTAAAGGGAGAATGAAGGAAAAAAAATTAATGATAGTTACGTCAAATAAATTTTTTTAAAAATTAAATTGTAAATATTAATTAAGATAAATTTAATTATAAATATCAATTACAAACAAAATGTTACATTTATGTAAAAAAAAAAAAAGAAAAGAAAATTATGCTTGGATTCACGCAAAGGGATTTGTAATAATGATAGTAACTTTTTATAGTGATACACTGAAAGAATACATGGACTACGAAAGTTCACCTAGCCTCTCTAAGGAGAGGTTTGCATGATGCTTGTTTCTTGTTTAAAGTGTATTTGGATTAAAATTTGTAAAACTAAAATTTCAATAAATTAGAGTAAAAGTAAGTTATAACAATATAATTTATATTTGAATACTTTTTTAAAAAAATTTATGTTAATGTTTGAATATTTTTAATGTAATTTTTGTTTTCATAAATAAACACAAAGGTCAAAGGCAAAAAAAAAAAAAAAAAAAAAAAAGAAAACAAATTCAGCTTCTTACCAAACCTTAGTTTTGGGCTAAAAGTAGGGATAAAAGTAAACCAAGCTAATAGTATAGGCCTTAATCAAATAATCTTAGAACTCATGATGAACTTATATGCACGTTCTTCTCAAACTTAAATATATGATAGGCTTAGTCTAACCTAAAATCCTTTTAAAGGCCCACTTTACATATAAGTTTATATAAGTCTTTAAAAAAGCATCTAAATTAGGCTTCAAAGTTTAGGCTTCAAGCCTATCAAACGTTATATTTTTATTTATACTTCAAAGCCTACATCTATCAGATTTTAAAAAAATTTAAAAGACTTAAAAATTATTTAAATATAATATAACATAATATAATATATAAATACATAAATGTAAATATCATATGTGTGTGTGTGTGTGTGTGTATATATATATATATATAAATATATCTAAACAGGTTAGGCCAACGGGCTTACAAGCCAGAACTTTAAAAATTCAAGTCTAAATTGTTGAGACATGTAAAACAAGCCTTAAGGCTTAACCTCTTTATAAACTCATCAAGTCCCAACAAGTCAGTTGCTTGATTTATCACCACCTATAGCTGAAAGTCATTCCCCATCAATCTTTTTCCCTAAATGAAATTAAACCAAACCTACTCGTAGTGAGCTAGCAATTGGGCCTCCTTTTAAGGTGGGTTGTGTTTTAGAAAATTAGCAGTTGGGCTGTCGGCGGAGGGATGGAGATAGAAGCATTGGAAGATGTCATGATAAATGGTAAAAATAAAGAGAATGATAACTACCAGCCAAAAAAATAATAATAATCTCCCATGATATAATGAATTGATATTTAAATTTTCATTGAGACAGACACTCGCATTTATCCTCCATTTGGATATGAATAAAAGTTGGGAGGAAAAAAAAGAAGAAAATATAATTTTAAAAAAGTGTTATCACCGATTGTATTTGGATGGACCCGAAAAAACTAGGCGAAAAAAAAAATAAATATTATAATAACTATAATACCCATACATTAAAATATATCATTTTTCATATATGAAAATTAATTAAAGGAAAATATTATATTAGAATTATTATCATCAAAATATTTAAAATCAAATTATTTGATAAAAATATATTTTCACATTATTATATTTTAAAATTAAATAATTTAGTAAAAATATGTTATTTTTCTTTAAAAAAAAAAGTGAATAATTTTTCTATTTAAAATTAAACAGGGGTTTTTCTTTCTTTTGGTTGGCGATGAGTCTTTTTGCTGTTAAAAATTATTAGTATTGCTGTGAAATAATTAAATGAACTAATGAGTTAGTGGGGTAGCGTGTGGAATACAGTATTTTCTCTCAAAATCTCTCTAATGTGGAGAGAAAAGTTGGAAAAAAAAAATGATAAATTTTATACCTTATTATCTCTTCTAATTTCTTTTTACTTTTCTTTCTTTATCTAAATAGGGTAAAAGTTATTTTCCTCCCTATTTTCTTTTTAAGTTTTCCCTTTTTTCAATTTTTCTCTTTATCAAAACAGGGCATCAATATTAGATAGTACTTTGAACAGAATTATCTGTAATAGAGCAAAAATCTCACTCTACAATTTATTAATAGCCAATATACTTGTGAGAATCAGTTTTTCTACCTTTTAATGGATGCCTCTATGCTGTTCACGAAAAAAAAAAATAATTGTGAGAGTCTCCAAGATAAAATGGAATTTTATTTCTCAACATGACTAGCCTTTGAATTTTCATCCCTTTTTTTTCGGCATTCAATTTGGATTGGAACGAAGGTAGAAAAGCTAAAGTCAAGTAAAGTGCACTGATATGGAGATCATGAGATTTGGAAATGAAGTTAATTAGGCAATTTAAGAGAAAGTAGAGATCATAGAGTTTAGAAATCCAGTCGAAAAATTTAGACACCAAATGAAGTTCATCTACAGACAGACAATTACTTATCCCTCAAAACCAAAATCCCTCATCTTCTCATTCTAGTTAGTCAAGTTTTTAGTTCTTGTTCGTTTACTTTCAATTCCTCTAGCATGTCACACTCATCTCAATGAGATATTACTTTGTATTTACAATTTCCATTCAATAAAATCTCTTTCTTTTATCTTGTCAATCTTTACTTAATATCACGTTCTTGTGAGTTATGTGTCAATTTTTTATTAACCGGACCAATCAGTCCAACAAGTGTAGAAATTAAGAAATATGAGTTACTCATTTTTTATTTTTGTTTGGGTTTTTTCAACCCATCATATGTTGACCAAGACTCATTTTTTGGATTTAATATTATTCAATATTATTTTAAAGAGTGAGGGAACTGTTTTTTCTACATGAGAAAAACTGACAGGAGTTGTTCCAACTAACATGGGATACTAGGTTCTATGAAACCAACTTGGACTTCCCTCTCTCAAAAAAACTCTTCCCGGTAAGATACTCTAACCTCTTAAAATCTAACAATTTTTTTTTTTTGATAGAAAAGTCTAACAATTTTATTACTTGCTAATTCGAACAAGATGATGAAACAAGACATGAACTTGGAGCTGAACTTGAACCTTTTAGAAAGTGGAGGATGGTGGTGTAAAAAATGGGCCGGCTCATGATAGACTTGGGCATAAAACAGTTGGGCTTAAGAATCCCACTTATATATATATATATATATATAAAAAAAAAAACTTTCATTCGCCTGGCCTGAATCTCATAGGCCTAGACTAGCCCATAGGGCTTCATGTTTATATATTTTTTTAAAATAAATTTTTGCCCTTTTAAATGAATATATAAAATAATAATAAATAGATATTACAGATAAATTAGTTTATGAGTATTTATAATTTCACTCAATTTTAAATTACGTGCTTGTAATTTATTTTATTTTAATAAATTCTTTATAGTTTAATCAATTAAATAGGTTAATACTTGGTTATCAAAATATTTTAATTTTTCATTTTTTTAAAATGAAATTATAGACTTTTATATGTTTATTAAAATATTATATAATTTTATAATTAATTACATGATTTTTATAATTTAAAATTTATACAATTAGCTAATTTTTCTATATAACTTTTATACATATAGTTTTTTCATAAAAATAATAATAATTGTTTTAAACTAAAAATATTGTATTAAATAAAAAAATTTGGCTCAAAGTATTAAACTAAATTTTCTATAAACTTTAGAAATTTTTTATTTTTAAAAAGTAAATAAGTTTTTAATAATTTTAATCTTGAAGGACTAATATATTTAATCAATTAAATTATAAGGACTTAATTAAAATAATATAAACTACAGGGACTGAATTCAAATTACGAAAAACTAGAAGGACTTGTAGTTCAATTTGCTCAATATTATAAAAATTTTAATTTAAGTTATAAGTATTAATAAATTAAAGTACCAAATCATTGCCTCAAGTTAAATAAACTAAAAAATTCTCCTCCAAATCTCAATAAAACAATAACATATAGAGATTCGCAGCAACATCATAATTATGATTATGCAAAACAACTCCTATTTCAAGTAATAAAACATTAAGATTTATAAATTCCTAATTCAAATCATACAATGTCAAATTATATAAGTATAAAAAAACTCTCTTGTCAAAAATATAATTTAAAAGTATTAATACACATGCATAACATAAATCAACTCAATGTCTAAAGTCCAGAGTAAATCAAACAATTATTTAAAGTTGAAAAAAAAGAAGTCGTTATCTAAAATTAAACAAACTAATCTAGTTGCAAAGTTTAATTCTAAAAAAAATACAAAAACAGATAAATATTTAAAGAATTGTCAATAATGTAAAAAGTATTAATAATGTTAACATAAAAAAAGTATATTTAATAAATATAATAAAATGGCCCAAACAGACTACCCACTATTTTAAAGGGCCGGCACTTATTAGTTCACTTTCTATTTCAAAACTCTAATGTAAGAAGATGAAAAAAAAAAAAAAAAAGTGAAAGGATGCAATTATTAAACTTAAAGAAATTGGCTATACAAACTCAGCTTGTTTTCTAGCTCTAATGGTGGCAACACAATCATCAATCAATATTTAATATTCAATAATAGAATGTTAACATAAAATGTAAAATTTATAATGGATGATACTGCTCTCAAATTATAAATAGTATAACGTATATTTTTACTTCGCAAATGTTTGGCGGTTCCGTGCCACGCGTTTATCATTGCTTTTGGTGACACTGTATT